GAGGGTGCGAGCCGCAGCTTCAGCTGCTCAGGTAGAGAGGCTGTGTAGCCCGGTGTGTTTTTTCGCTGATTCGGTTCTGCAGGTTCTCTGCTGGTACACTGGAGACGGGGATCAAGCAGTTTGTCTCACTCGGGATAGATTGTGCTTTTTTGGTTCATAGTTTTTGATTGACGTGCAATTTATTCGCGTTTAGAGGGAATAAATTTCCGTTATAACGGAAACGTGTGCACAGTTATCTATATAAAACACACAGACTAACTAACTAACTAACTGATTGCCTAACATAAACAACTGAAAATTGAAAAAAATTAGCTTGCACCGTTAGCTCCGGTAAGGGAAAGCATGAGGGAAAGCGGCTAACCGGAAGTCACACACAAAAAAACGGAAGTTGATCACTATTTACTTCCGTGTTTGAAAATAAGGTGGATACACCTCCTACCCGATTCCAGCCATTCTGTTCTTTCTGCGCATGCTCGTTTCCTTGCCCTTCTGGCGCGATGACATATACAGCGTGCATAGCAACGGGCTGAGATAGAGCAGTTGGACTCGTTGCACTCACCGGTTTCCATTCACCACAGCACGGTCCTCTATCTCCCTTCTTTGACCTTCTACCTCTCTTCTCCTCCTCAACAGACGAAGCATTAGCAGAACAAGGTTGTTGTTGTTGTACTGCTGCTTCAAGAATATAAGCAAAACAAGCCCAAAAAAGGCACTAAGAACGGCGTCGTCAAGCATCTTGTTATCCGGGGCGAGGACTACAGTGTTTTCTTCTGGTACACGTAACATCCGCCCCGCCCCCATTCCAATCAGAAACCTTCCCTGCCTCAAACCTTACGCAGACCCAAATAAAGGCGATTAAACTGATCTCCCATGTAAACTCTCATTCGGAATGAATATTTCCCATGTAAACTACCTGGAAAAACTGTAATTCCGAATGATTTCATTCAGATTTATTTCATTCTGAGTGAGAAGCCATCATGTAACCGCACCCACATACACTCACACACGTCACATTAGCCACAACTGGACTGGACTGTGGAATGAACCATTTTAATTTAATTTTAATTTAAGTTCTAATTTCTATTTATGCACAAATATTAACTTATTAATTTTATGTCTATTGTAATATCACTGTGTTGTTGTTGATGAGGGGAAATGTGGTTGTTGTTTTTTATAAGCTGCTGGACAACTGAATTTCCCTTCGGGGATGAATAAAGTTCTTCCGATTGTGTTCTATTCTATTCTGTGGCGTCCTCTTTTTTGGAAAGGAATTTGTTTGAGTAGTGTGAGAAAATGAGACAGAACCTGCAAGAAGGGCCTCTAACAGTGTGAGAGCTGGCAGCCCTGGATATGATATTGAAGCTGTGTAAGTGCAATCAGGAGGAGAAACTCAACTCTGGCAGGCTCTGGCCCAGTGTAACCCCTGTGCATGCAAACATTAGCACCAGCTTGAAGATTGAAAAGCAGTATTCACAAGACCTCAGTAATGGAAAAGAAAAAAGTCACAGCTCACCAGCTCTTTGTTCCATGCTTGGTAGGTGGGTGTCCCTCCTTTGATGTAATTGACAATGTAGATGATGAAGAGGGTGATGAGGAGAAGGGGACTGACTATTGCCCACATGATCTTCCAGTACCAGTTGGGACGATGACCAAGCATGTCTTCTATGTCTTTTTCAAACCTAAAATGAGTCGATGAGGAATTAAAATTAAATGCTTTTCTATATAGTTTAAAGGAACATTGCTGATGATTTTGCAGTTAAGACGTGACAATAGCTACACGTTGACACAAAACAAAAGCTGAATGCATACAAATGTGGGTGCTTCCATACACAAATACACAAACCTTCTAATTCCATAGATGTAACTGACAGTTATGACCTCAACGAGGACAACAAACAGCAGCGAGAAATTGGCTCCATAGTCGTTGAACATGGTAAACCAATAATTTCCAGATGTGGTGGTGAAGCCCAGGCCAAGTAGCAGACAAAACAAACACACTAAACCTGCAAGCAAAACACAGCACTCAGTAGCTGACACTTGTATTTCCAACCAGTACGTTTTAACATTGGCTTCATTGCAACACATACTAGACATACAACCCTGATTCAAACAGTTAGGACCCTGTGTAAAACATAAATAAAAACAGACTGCAATGATTGCAAATCTTTTTTGACCTATATTTAGTTCAATACATATCTGATGTTCAAACTGATAAACTTCTTTTTTAATTGCTTTTTAAATATACACTTGTTTTGAATTTGATGCCTGCAAAATGTTAAAACAAAAGCCAAAAAACACAAGTTTAAACTTTCCACAGGTAAACAGGTTAACTGGGAACAAATTAAAGTATTGTTACTAGGAATAAAGGGGCATCCTCGAAATCCTAGGTTGTTCACAAGCAAGAATGGTCACTTTGTGAAATAATGCAAGGGCAAACAGTAAAAATGTTTGAAAACAACACTTCTCAATGCACAGTAGCATTGAGAAATCTCTGCATATTAGGGGCAAGGCCGGAAATCAATATTCAATGGCCTTGATCTTTAATCGCTGAAGCAGGACTATTCAATTACAAATTCAATTGGGCCGGATTTTAATACCAGAATCGGTCAATGGGCCAGACATTTATAGGAGCGAGCAACCTATAGAAAACTGTTTTTTTAGCTTATATATTCCCTATTCCCAGCTAGTGACTGCTGTGAATAGGGCAGCTGACAACAAGGGAAAGACCATCTGACCGCTTGGAAAGACAGCTGACAGGAGGGAAAAGACCCCAGAGGTGCTGGCATGGGCTAGCAACCCATGGTAGCAGTGGTGAGGCCAAGCAGCCTTACTACAACCAAAATTAGCTACAGCCAACATAGGGAAAGTACCCCAAGAGTCAGCGAAAGCAGGGGTGGAAGATGACTCACAGGTGTATTACACGGTAAGAGACATTGGAACGGACACGACTATGACTTGAATCTGTGACTCAGTGAAGGATAGGGGCACGGACCTATCCACCAGGGCTAGAATTAGCAGCACTCAGGGCAAGGCCAGTGCATCTGTAGAGGATAAAAGTAGCACAGTTATAATGTAAATGTATTAAATAAAAAATAGAGTATGGTGAATGTGCTACAAAAGGTAGCATCAGCACTGCTTCTACCTGGAGCTTGCATGTACGGAGCCTGGGTTTGGTTGAAGGTGGCAGTGCTGTTTGGGCTGAGAAAGCCATGTGTAAGTAAGGAGGAAATCCAGGAAGAGGAAGGTTATTTAAGTGTGGGAGTGGCCTATTTGAATCCCTTTTGTTTGAGACCATGCTGCAAGGTGAGTGTGTTTGCTGATCCTGTAAGTTTATTTATCTCCTTTAACTTTAGCTTATATTGGAGTTATGCTATGTAGCTTGTGAAATAGAGTATGGTGAATGTGCTAGGAAAGGTAGTATCAACATTGCTTCTACCTGGAGCTCGCATGTACGGAGCCTGGGTTTGGTTGAAGGTGGCGGTGCTGTTTGGGCTGAGAAAGCCATGTGTAATGTAAGGTAAAGGAGGTTATTGGGTTGGTGTGGGGAGCAGTGAGACCTGGCATTAGGGGAGTGTCTCTGGGACGCCAGAGATCACTGTCTAGCCTCCTGGAGGTGTCGTGGGACCAACTAGACGAAACACCGGTGAAAGGAGGTTCCCACCCGATGACCCCAAAGACATGTTAGTTATCACTGCTCACTGGTCTGTATAGTTAAGCCTTGCCATAATAGCTTATCATAGGGCTTAGGAGGTTATTCACTGAGTGCTGATCCTTTTCTAGAGCACAAACTTCTTGTGTTTATTTGAATATATATATTTAGCATATATATATATATATATATATATATATATATATACATAGGTATATATACCAAGACTAAGTGTCAAAGTACCCTCTGAAAGTCTGCTAGATGATGTGAATGCAGCTCTATGAACTATCCCCACTAGGACCATTACTGAGACAATTCAGCTGTTGTACACCACAGCAACAGTGATCTTATGTGCTTGGCCACAAGATGAGCACCTTGAGCCACAAAGAGCGCCAAGATCAAGGCAACACAGACAGAGGTTAGTCAACTCTCAGAGCTACAGAAAGGAGTGGGGAAGAAAGGGATCCCTAGGAATTACAACAAACTGTCTATACCTGAGACACTGGAGACTGCCAAGTAAAGGCTCACAGCTCTGGCTACCCGCCTGAAGAGATACACAAGAGAAGTAGAAGTCAGGAGAATAAATAGGATGTTCTCCACCAAACCATCCAAAGTGTACTCTCAGTGGCAAGGTAACAAAATGAGAATAGATCCACCCAAAGCTGAAACTGAACAATACTGGAAGAGCATGTGGGAGAAGAAGGCATCACATAACACTGATGCTAAGTGACTAGTGGATCTAAGAGCAGACCATAGTGTTCTCCCAGAACAAGAGCCAGTTACCATTACAAGACATCCAAGAAAGAGTATCAGGTATGAAGAGCTGGACAGCACGGGGCCCTGACATGATACACACCTACTGGCTTAAGAAACTAACTGCACTCCATGAACGCCTGGCAGCACAAATGAACCAGCTGCTGATGGATGGGACCAATCCATAATGGATGACCCAGGGACGGACAGTCTTGCTCATGAAGGATCCCCAAAAGGGTGCGGTCCCATCAAACTACCTGCCAATAACCTGCCTCTGTACAACATGGAAGCTCCTGTCAGGCATCATAGCAGCTAAAATGAATAGGTACATGGCCCAATACATGAGCAAGGCCCAGAAAGGAATTGGTAGTAATACCAGGGGAGTAATACCAGGGGAGCCAGCTACTGGTCAATAGAGCAGTCACCCAAGTCTGCAAGACCAGGCAGACCAACCTGTGCACTGCCTAGATTGACTGCAAGAAAGCCTTTGTCTCAATGCCTTCATCAAGAAATCAATGGGGCTGTGGAAAACATCTCTGGAGGCCAACTCAAAGCTAACTGCATAAGTTGCCATCAAGTGCGACATAAACCAAGGTCATGCACTGTCCCTGCTACAGTCCTGCATAGGCCTGAACAGCCTCAGCCAATTCATCACAAAGAGTGACTGAGGGGGTTCAAAAGTGGAGCAAACATCAGTCACCACCTCTGCATGGATGACATCAAGCTGTATGCCAGGAGTGAGTAAGACATTGACTCACTGATCCACCTTACCAGGATCTACAGCAATGACATCGCAATGTCATTTGGACTAAATAAGTGCGGTCAGATGGTGTCCAAGAGAGGGAAGACGATCAGAACCAAGGGGGTTGAACTGCCAGAGGGCAGCATTGCAGATGTTGGGGACAGCTACAGATACCTTGGGGTCCTGCAGGCAAATGGGAACAACGAGGAGGTAGCAAGGAAGTCAGCCACAGCCAAATACCTACACAGAGTTAGGCAGGTCCTGAAAAGTCAGCTGAATGGAAAGAACAATATCCGAGCCATCAACCCGTACGTCCTGCCAGTCATTACATACCCTGCTGGTATAATAAGCAGGCCAAAGGAGGAGATAGAGGCCACTGATATCAAGACAAGGGAGCTTTTCACAATGCATGGAGGGTTTCATCCCAAGTCCAGCACCCTGAGGACTTGTGAGCGTCAGAGCCACTGTTCAGGACAAAACAACCAAGATCCAGGAATACATCAGCAGGATGGCCCCCAAAGATGAGCTGCTAAGTGAATACCTCAGGCAGCAGAAACCTGAAAAAGCAGAAGAGGGGATGAACCATCATGGAAGGACAAGCCCCTGCATGGCATGTACCACTAACAGGTTGACAAAATGGCCGAAATCAAGAAATCCTACCAGCAGCTGGAAAAGGCTGGACTGAAAGACAGCATGGAAGCACTAATCATGGCAGCACAGGAACAGGCACTTAGTACAAGATCAATAGAAGTAGGGCTCTACCACACCAGACAGGACCCCAGGTGCAGACTATGCAAAGATGCTCCTTAGACAGTTCAGCACATAGCAGCAGGGTGTAAGATGCAGACAGGATGAACGTACATGGACCGCCTTAACCAAGTGGCTGGCTATGGACTGGAAGTCCCAAGGTCACAATGGAAGACACCTCCTAAGGTGGTTGAGAATGATCGAGCTAAGATCCTGTGGGACCTCCAGGTCCATTTTGCCCTCAGTTTCACCTTTATGTATATGAGCGTCTGTGTGTGTGCTCAGCCGAAAACCAACTTCAAAAGATCTCCCACTGTGGCGAAATGGTGCTTCTCTTTACTGGAGAGTGTGTCAACAAGACACCTCTGATTTTGTTTGTGACCACAACCAGTGTAAACAGCACTAGTTGTGGAAAGTAACTAACTACAAGTACTGTACTCAAGTAAAATTATGATATAGTAGCCAATTAATTAATGTTGTCAAATAAAATATACTAGGCTATCAATTTGGAACTCTGCTTAATAATTAAACTAATTACTACAACCAAAATGACCATATCAATAGCTACAAAAAGTAATAGAGTTCTGATAGTAGAAGCTGGCAAGATTCCCTTTTTTCATTTCACAATAACAGTCTAGTTTAAGTCATGCAAATGAACAAGTTCATATGTGAGGTTCTGGTGGTCCCTACATACTTTATACTTCTACTCTATTACATCTTAGAGCATGCCAACCATTAGGAATTATGGACAGGAGGTAAAAATGGGAAATAGCTTACTGGAACTAGGCTGATGGCCACAAGGATGATGATGGTAAAATTTTCATCAACATCAGCCTGGATCTTACCGTTAAACAACTCGTTGCTTATTTTGGACACAACCTTGAAGTCTCGTAGTGGGGTGATGATGGCAGTGACGTTGCCCAGCATGCTGCCCATTCCCAACAGGAGGAGCATAATGAAGTACAGCACTGACCACAGCTGAGACAATGGCATATTCTTAATGGCCTCACTGTACACAATGAAGGCCAAACCTGTCCCCTCCACAGCCTGAAACAGATGAAAGGGAGAGACAACAGTTTATGACTGAAGTGGAATCTGAATTGGGCTTTGACCCACTTTGACTTGGCCTCCTGAAAAGCCTCAGAGAATAGACATACATTTCCTGCATTCAGATGGCTTTTGCTCTACAAAGTAGAAGTGATGAGGTCTTGAGGGAGAGGCTTAGCACACATCACTCAAAACACATCAGGGACTGTATTCTCAAACATTCTGAGAATACTCTCAGAGAGCTCCTAACTTAGCCTAATTTTTTTTAGTAAGGAGTCCGAGATTGGGAGTCATTTAGGAAAGTTATCAGAGCAGCTCTGAGCTAGGAAGGGACAGAAACTTTTACCTTTGTGAGGAGGTGTGGTTGACCCCACTGCTAAGTGTGATGCATTCTTTTAACAGATGTGATTGGTTGTCAGAGACACGCCATTTTGTGAGCCTGTAAGGTGTGGACACCCAATGGAAATGAAATGAACGGCATCACAATATGAGACTGTAAAAGTTTTGCCCTTTGTTAGTGTGATTGCTCTGCTAATGAAAGGATGAGACAGACCCAAGTCATCACTGCTGCACTGTTGCATTTTTCCAGTTTTCCAAATATCTTAGTGTTGTCATCATTTTATTTCTGGTGTTATACCATTAGGTGGGAAATGTGTGTGTGTTACGGCTGTGTGTGTTCTGTGCTGCTATCCCTTTTTCCCTACCTTGTAGATCTGCCCAGGTGCGTTGCATTACCTAACGAGGTGCAACACACCTGACATGGAGGAGGTGCTTAAGAGCTCCTGTGCCAGCAGCAGAGGGGAGAGGCTCTGGTGTGGGGACTGCTGGTCCTGCTGCCTCTCACCGAGGGATTTTTGTTGTCTTGTTTGCCTGTTTTAATTCTAATAAATCCCATGGATTTGAGTGTTTTTAAAGGTGTTCATGTGATTATTATGGGTCAGTGTATTGGAGTTTTGTTCATCCCATAGGGCTGCCTAAGGGTGGGGCGTAACAGTGTGTATCCCTAATGACATTAACCACACATATTATCCCTGCATAATCTAATCTGTAGCTTTTCATTCACTCAGTCATTCAGTGATTCGAGAATATTTTTTTTTTTTTTTTTTGTCCAATGGGGCTGATTAGTCTCTCTGCCTATTATTTTACATTGCTCAATCTACAATTGGAGATAATTCAATTTAGCAATATCTAATAGAATTTTTCTATAGGGCTCAGATAGCCACCATGAGCCATGCAATGAACAACTGCAATTATATCCCTAATGTGCACACAGTGCAAATGGTTTTCCATTCAGGACTGTTGTCTAAACTTGTCTAAAGCTCATTTAGACTGTTACTCCTTTACCTATTTTTCCAATCAAAAGTCCATATTTTTTAGTGTCTACTGATTTTCAAAGATGTCTGTCTCCCATCCCTCACTCTTCACCATATTAACTGAACCATTGGCAGCAGAAGCTAGACAAAACACAAACATTAAAGGAATCTAACAGTTCTTGTACAGTTTTATGCTCTCTGTGTACTATTCATACATACTACAATCATTACAGAGGGATCATTGAACATTATTGTCAATCATTTACCCTTATTTGGTGGGCCCACCACTTGTGGGGATAGGCAGAGTGGTTGGTGCATTTTGAGCTGGGCAGCAGACTGGGGTGGGGATCTAGGCATGCTGACCCCTGGCATAGCAGACTGGCTCTAGTGACATGTAATGTCACCTCTCTAGTGGGCAAGGAACTGGAGCTAGAGCAGGAGGTGGAGCAGTATCAGCTAGATACAACTGGACTCTGGAAGCAAATCTTGGAGAGGGGTGGGTCTCTCGCCTTTTCCAGAGTTGCCCACGGTAAAAGGTGTCGAGCGGGTGTGGGGATACTTACAAGCCTCCGGTTGAGTGCCACTGTGTTGAAGTTCTCCCCAGGGAATGAGTCGTCTCTATGCGACTGCAAGTTGCTGAAAAGAAGTCTCTGACTGTTGTTTGTGCTAATGCACAAAACAGCAGTTTAGAGTGTGCAGCCTTCTTGAAGTCTCTGGGGGTGTCCTGGAAAGGGCACCGACTCGGGATTCTACAATTCTGCTGGGGGACATCAACACTCACGTGTGCAACATCTGGGAGAAATGGCCTGCCTAATCTGAACCTGAGTCGTGTTTTATTACTGGACTTGCTCGTAATAAATTGGCTATAGCAAACACCATGTTAAAGCATAGGGTGGCTTGTAAGTGTACCTAGTACCAGAATGCACTAAGTCAAAGATCAATGTTCAACTTTGCATTCATGTCATCAGATCTATGTCTTGCATACTCAGCTGAAGAGGAAAGCAACTGTCAACTGATCACCACCTGGTGGTGAGTTGGATCTGATGGCAACAGGGGCTCCCAGAGATACCTGGTAAACCCAAACATGTAGTGAGGGTGAACTAAGAATGACTGGCTGAGGTTCCTGCCTGTGAAGTCTTCAACTTACACCTCTGGAAGACATTTTCATGAAAACTGAGCAGGCCATGTTCAAAATCTCAATTATGGAGGCAGCTGCTAGAAGTTGTGGCAGCAACCTAAGATCCCACTGGTGGGTACCAGTTAAGCTGTAGAGGGAGGAATATGGCGGTCACCCAAGCAAAAGCCTGTGTATGGGAGGAGTTCAGGGAGGCTATAGAGAGGGACCTCAAAGAAGTTCTGGCAAACCTTTAGATGACTCAGAAAGAGAAAGCAGGGCTTGTCTCAGACTGTGCTCAGCAAAGGAAGAGAATTACTGACCTGGACTGGGGATATTGTCGAGTGGAAATCCGGAGACCAAAGGGTGTGCTCCAGTTATCAGGGTATCACACTGCTCGGCCTCCACAAAAAAGTTTATTCCAGGGCAGTGGAAAGGAGGCTCCGACTGACTGTCGAACCTCAGATTTAGGAGGAGCAATGTGAAGCTCGTCGTGGCCGTGGGACAGTGGACCAGCTCTTTAATCTTGCAGGGCTGCTGAAAAGTTCATGGTAGAGTGCCCATCCAGTCTACATGTGTTTTGTGGACATGGAGAAGGTTTATGACTGTGTCCATGGGGAGTCCTGTGGGGGGTACTGCAGGAAAGTCTCTGACTAGGGTCGTTGATACAAGCTATCTGGTCCCTCTATGACCAAAGAGAGAGCTTTGTCCATATTGGCACAAAGACAAACATTTTCAGTGGGCGCTGGTCTCCGCTAGGGATTTCCCTTGTCACCAATTCTATTTATAAAATTAATGGACAGAATCTCAAGGTGCAGCCCGTGGGAGCAGAGTGTCCTGTTTGTATTTGCATCTCTGCTTTTTGCGATGATGTGGTTTTATTGGCTCCATCAAATGGTGACCTCCAGCACACACTGCAGCGGTGTGCATGAAATGGTCTGGATGACAGTCAGTACCTCCAAGTCTGAGGCCATGGTTCTTTATGGGAAAATGGTGGATTGGCCCCTCTGGGTTAGGAGAGAGTTACTGCCCCAGAGGGAGTTCAAGTACCACAGAGGTCTTTTGCATGAATGAAGGTAAAATGGAGTGTGAGTGTGAGATGCAGGTGTTGCACCAGACCGTTGAGGTAAAGAGGGAGCTGAGCCAGAAGGCAAAGCTCTTGATTTACTAGTGCATCTATGTTCCAGCCCTCGCCTATGGTCATGAGCTTTGGGTAGTGACCAAAAGAATAAGAACACGGATACAAACCACTGAAAGGAGTTTCCTCCATAGGTTGGCTATGGAGACAGGGTGAGAAGGTAAGACATCTTGAGGGAGTTCAAAGTAGAGCTGTTGTTGCTTTGCGTTGAAAGGGGCCAGTTGAGGTAGTGACACAGGGGACCACCTGCTAAAAATAGGCTGTAGACTGCTTTCCCATTGCTAGTAGACTAGAGCCATGTACACAGCTCTGCAGCACACAAATATGCCCTTCTGCCCTTTTGTTTTTCTTCTTACTGCTGTGTCACATTCAACATCACGGACAGGCTGGAAAACAGGTTGGTAAAGAGTAGAAAGCAGCATGGGGGCCACTGAAAATGTTACATTGGTTTCTGTTTTTTATATATCTCTTATTTAGTCCCTTTTTCAAACTCAGTCCAGACAAATTTGAATCAATATTCGCATTCTGCTTGGGCAAAGACGTATGGTATTTTGTGGTAGCCCGTCATTGCATCTAGCCAGTAAAGGGGATAAAATTAGTGCGTTTACCTGGGTGTTGTGTTTCTATCACTGCCAAATGGAGCCAGCACTGAAAAATACCCTTGACTACTGCAACTGAACCACTTTGAATCATATTCCTCAATTTATCCTTCTCTGCGCAGCTTCCTCATTTAAACAAGAATCATATACAAATAATGTTATCACGTTAAAAAGGGAAACATTTCACGTTAAGACAACATAGGTGATCACATTATAATGTGAAACGATTTGTTATAATAAATAAAATCATCCTTTTCTGACTTTAATGCTTCACATTAAAACAATATATGTGATTATGTTAAAACATTACAACATTACATTATAACAAGATAAGTATAATAATAAAGGTTTCTTGTTATAATGTGAAAATATCTAGTTAAAATGTGGAAAACATCTTGTTATAATGATTAAGTTATCACATTATTATGTGATACTGATCCATGTTTTTCGTCTGGAGTGACAGTGATATGCTTCAGTATTTTTTAAATGGAGGAAAGTAACACAGACCACAGCTAAAAACTACAAAGTTTTTCATTCATTGTGATGTGTAGGTTGCAGGGTTTTGAAAGAAATGCAGCTTACACACCAGGCTTTTTGTATCACTACTCCAGAGTTTCGCTGAGTGATAGCCAAGGGCTATGATGCATGCTGCAGGTCTACCCACCTACGGGTCCCATGCGGGTTCTGGAAAGCTTACTAGAAAATATCAACACATTCTTACTCCCTAACTGGCAAATATGGTTCAAAAGCTTCAAACCATGATGTTCTGGGTAACTCTTGCATCAGTTTGGGATGTGTCAGGTTCCATGTCAATGTCTGCTTGTTATATGCTACAATGTCTTTCATACTAAACTCTTCACAGGAAACATAGGTTTCACAAGCAAAATTGCTTTAGAGTTAGGCAACAAAGCTGTTTTGCAACAAAAACTACTTTAAGTACAAAACTATCCTACTTGGTAAGGTTTGGAAAAAGGCTTAGTTTGAGTTGAAAAAAACTGTCCATTACGGTAACTTGGTGAGTATTTCCCCTGAGTACTATGTCATGTGACATACACCAGTAACTACATTACATGGTTGAAAAAACTCAAAGTTGACTTTCCACCTGGGACACTGGTCTACGGGTAAAAGTCTGGTGTGTGTTCACCCATCTGTTCCACTCAGATTGTCTTGCTCTTCCCAGTGTTTTTGGTGCAATTGTGATTGCTCTGGAATTACTTCTATAAGTCCTCAGTCTTGACAACTGCAACTATAATGCAGAACATTGGCTCTTAACAGATTGGTGGGTGTGGTCTTAAAAAAATCTTGACCCTCGCATACCAGAATGGCTACTCCCTGCTCTGTGTGGGTGACTAAAGCATCGCCATCAAAGAGCATGGATACCAAAAGGCGAAGCTCCGTTGAATTTTTGCCAACAGCCACTAGGGGCGCTGCCGTCATTTTGGACTGTTGAGCTTGGACTGTTGCGCCCAGACAACATGCAAGATGTCAAGGAGAGAGGAGAAAAAAAGTAAAAGAAAACAGTGTAGTGCAATTAACTGCAACAACTATCAGTGGAACACCCCGCACCTGGCCTTCCACCCTTTCCCAAAGGATCCTGACAGGTAAGAACTCCTGAGGTGTAAGTTTTTAAGTGTTTTAATATCAATTTAATATGCCAGTTTACTGGACCATTTATATCAGA